TGTGTTGAAGTTCGAAGATGATGGAAACGAATGGCGGCTAGGCAGTTACGGTATGTGCATCGCGTGGAAATGGTAGCGGATGAATGAAGGGTAGTCAGCGGAAGAAGGTCGTGATGCTGTGGGTTCCGGTTGGGTTCAGAAGGTTATGGTGATTATAGTGTGGCTGGAAGTTGAGTGGTTCACGGCGGAGGTTGGAGCTGGGTTACGGTAGTTTGAAAATAGAATGAAGGTTCGTGAGAAGAATCGAGACGGGTTTCGTTTGCAGAGAGGTAACAGTTGTATGTACGGCATGTTAGAGATTTAGGGTGTGATAATCCTGGATAACTTCGATGAATCGTGTTCGTACACTTTCCGAACAAAGTATTTCGACCATATTCTTGTCTGGGTTCACGAAATCTTTGTGGGGATAATTCTCGAAGAAATTCTGTTTCCGACAAAAGAAACGAATTCTAATTATAGAAAGAATGATGCGTTTTTCTGTATGCGAGGCCGAGGTCGAACGACTCCTTATATAGGAGAACAGTAATTGAAACGAAGAGACACATTTGTTCGAAACAGTTATGTCCGTTGGGAAACAGTTATGTCCGTTGGGGAACAGTTATGCCCGTTGGGGAACAGTTATGTCCGTTGGGGAAAGGATTCAAAATTTTTGCACGGGGCGCTGCCCCGCACCCCGCCAGGGGCTTCGCCCCTTGGAACCCCGTTTCAATTATTCGTATTCAATTATGTATTGGCTCGACGAGCGTGCACTCCGCACTTCCCTAACTCGTCTCCGAACTTAACGCATAATTACATCGACTTTTAGAAATCACATTACTACTAAAATACATTGGTGATACAAAATCGCCAACACGGCAGAGTAGTATGAGGCTCTCGGAAGAAGTTTGAGCTCATGGTGGATAATGTTGGTGATGATGAAAAAGGTATTTGGATAATGGAAATTATGAGAGCTAGGTGGATAACGAAAATGAAGGTGCACGTTTAGAGAAGAAGAATGGATTTACGGCGGAAGATGCATTTGTGAAGAAGTTTTTCGGTTTCTTTAGAAGATATGATCTTCCTCCCCTCAAAAGAGTTACTCGCTTATCTATTTAAACTCCTAATTAGGTTTTCTATTTTTTCTAAATGACCAAAAAGTCTCTATCGATAAAAATCAACATAAAAATCTGAAACTATGAAAATTAATTAATTTTTTTTTTAATTTTTCTGAATAAAAAACAGATATTTAAAATTGTCAAAAATACTAAAATATAAATACTAAATTAATCGAAAAATGAAATGAACACATTAAAATAAATTACAGATCACAAAGATTAATAGAAAATAAATCAAATGATCAAAATCGAAATAAAAAAAAAAAGAATAAAAAAAAAGGCTGTAAAACACTGACGATTAAGAACAAGACTTCAAATTGCACCAAAAAAATAAAGTGAGCAGACATCACGATCTACACGAAACCTAGATTCATAAAATAGGTAGTAAAAGGTGAAAACTTGAAATATTTTCTCGCTAATTTTTTGCACAGTATCGAGTTGTTTTTAACGATTTATTTATAAAACCGAAATATTAATATTATCGACATATAAACAAGTTAATGCAATGCAAGAAGCGAGTAAAAAAATAAAAATGCATGAAATGAGATAACATGTATTTTTTAACTATAAAACAATGCAAATGTCGATTTAAACTGACTTTTGATCAATTTAAACACGACTGGTGATGCAAAAATGTGATGAATAAAGATGTTTACTGATGATTGTAATCAAATAACAAAATATGATATGATAATGCGACTAAAAAAATTAGGGGCAAAATTTAGAGTGCAACAACGGGCCACAAGTAAAGAGCTCTAGAGAAGGTCTCCAAGACGTATACTTGATGAAAAATTGGAACGCCTTCATGAAAGTCCAAGTTTCAGGATGAAGTTGTAAGGGGGAAACCCTTATGGGATCCATCACAACCTCCTTAAAATCGAAGAAAGGAAAACATATCCCCAACCTGGTGAATGGGCATTCATATGGAGGAACCGAACAACCCTCAAGAGAGCTCATATCCTCTCCTCTGGTCCTAATGTCAGAATCAACCAATTTGGAGGGTTCTTGACCATAATATCAGCGTTCATTATAGTCTAGACAATATTCAAGATGGAAAGAGTTTGAACCACTTCGATAGCTACCTAGTGGTATCTATTGACATTAATTGACTCAACAAGCCGAAGTCCCCATAGGACCAGTTTTCCAGCTTTATAATGATCACTGAGATTTTTCTAAGACACATCATTAAATTGTCACTGGCATTCTAAATGACGCGCGATTTCAGCATTGTCGGGCTCACGGCCAGTTGTCGGGCTCACGGCCAGTTGTCTGCCTATAAAGCCAAACAAATCTATCGAAACTTTCTCTCCTCTGACATGCAGTTTCTATTTCTTCCTCAATCAAGGCATGAGAAGGCATCAACTTCTCAATCTTTATGAAAATAGGGTTGTCATTCATCGTAACGAAAATACAGTAAATGCTTGAATGAAAAGCTGAAGTGAAGAGAAGGTACTTTAAAATATAAGGTTGAAGGCAGTAAAGAAAAATAGAAGGTCGGAAGTTGAAGCTTTGAATATATGGTGATGGTTACTCCTGTAAAACTGCTCTCAGAGAAGAGGGAAAGACTCAAAGGAAACAAGGGAAACTCAGTCTATAAGATTGCAAAAAAGTTTCTCTATGTTCCATCTATCCTTATATATGCAAAGATAATCGGGAAGACCAGGTTGAAAGTAAGAAGCAAATGTGGATCAACTGTCAGATTTCGTCTTGGGAACAAAAACAAACTCGAGTGCACTCAAGTGCACCACAGTCAGTTGCATAAAATCGCTTCATACCTTTTTAGGTCACACGTTAAAAAGTGGTGAAACGTCTCAATGATGAAACTTCATTTAATGTTCATGTTCCCCGTTACACTATGGCAAAACCAAAGCAATGCATGTCAGCCGACGCCTAAACAATCACTCCTATAGGCCGGCCAGAGTGTCAGACGAGTCTTGGGGCAAATGTTCTGTGTCGGCCAAAGACCCAAGGACATACTGATTTGCATTGGTCAAAGACCCAATAATGTGAGACCTATTAATCCAACACACTCTATTAATCCCAATGTATAAATACCCTCTCGAAAGATTTTCAGGTACACAACCTCTAATCTCCACTCTAATTACGATTATCTTGAATCCTAAACTAACTTGGACATACGAGTGTTAACCATGCATGTACCACCCTCTGATTTGTCATCTTGAAGAATAGCAATGTTGATTCAAGATCTACATCGAACAACAACGTTAATTTAAGATCAATGTATATGTGATTGCAACCTCCGACCTACGTTACTGCATCACAGAATTATTCAGAAATTTCGCTTCACCGTAATTTCTGTAATCTTCTCTATTTCTGATTAATTTTATGAGATTCATTCAATTTATTTATTGTATATATCATTTTGTGTATTATACATTTTTAATGTATTCTATAGAAATGTCATGTGATCATATTTCAGACAAATTATTTATTTATTTTTGAAAAGTAAAATTTGACAATTAAATAATTATAGGGGTATATTTTTAATTCTACACAAATAAGTTAGTTGAAAACCTGTTTAATGCAAATTAATATGATTATATCAGTACACCAAATATATATTGAATGCCATTTAATGTTCTAGCTAAAATGGGCATGAATTTTTTTTCATAATTTTATTTTTGACTCATTCTTTTCATAACTTTCGCTATATTTTCTTTTTTTTCTCTCTCTCCCTAATTAAATAAATAAAAATTTGTAGTTTTTTTTATTTGTATCATTTTCAGTTATATATATATATATATATATATATATATATATATATATATATATATATATATATATATATATATATATATATATATATATATATATATATATATATATATATATATATATATATATATATATATATATATTACCATTTTCAAGTATTTGCAGAAAATTAAAATAAAAATAAATTTTATAATATTAACATTTATAATCTAAATTTCCTCACAATTATAAATTATTTATAGAAGCTTTTCTTTTAAAAAACTTAATATCTAATTTTAAAATTGACTATTTCAAAATAAATTACAGAATCTAGTGGAGTTTTGACTAGGTCACTCATCCAATTTAATAAACAGTCATTTTACTTACAACAAACATAAAATGAAAAAAAATACATAAAATAGTAAAAAAAAACATATAAAAAAGTTGAATAAATATAATATTATAGTGAAAAATAAAGATATATCAAGTCAGGAATATAATAATTTTGTTTAGACTGACACAAGTAAAAATATCTCTGAAATATAATCATTATCTAAAGAAATAATTTTTTATTCTCTCTGTTTTATGATAAATATTTTATTTAAATTTTATACAGTTTTTAAAAAAATAATTAAATATATTAGTTTTAATAATAAAATTAATATTATTTATTAAAGTATTTTTATTTATTATAGTTAATAGAATAATTGAAAATAGTAAAAACTAATAAATAAAAATATAATAATGAAAAAATAATAAATATTATATTGATATTTAAAAAAAATATTCAATTTAAAATATAATAAAATATAAATAAAACACTTATTATAAGATAGTGAAAATATCTTTATTACATCAATTATTAATTTTTTTTTCACAGTATATTTACTTTAAACGACTTTTATTTTAAAAAGAAGAGATTAACCATTTAATCTTCTTTGAAAGGATTAAACTATTGATGTAGCACTGAGTGGAGCAAAAGAAAAATAATGATTGTGTAAGTAAGGCATGTCTTGAGGAAATATAACATTAATATCTTTTGAATTGACAACTCTTGAAACTATCACACTTTTTGGAGTTTTATGCTCTCTATCTTTAGAAACACAGTGTCTAACATTTTCTGTCTACTTTCAGTGTCTTTCATTTCTATTTTCAGCTTTCAACCAATTTTTGTATCAGATTCTGTTTCAAATGGGAGGAAGAGGAGCAGTGTGCAGAGGTTGGGAGGAAGACATTTACTGGACGCACTTTCAATTCATCCATTTCACCCAATTCCTCCGCTCTGATTTTCATCAACAACTTGTTAGTATTTCTTTCATTCTTTTGTTTTTGTGGCACTTTGTTTTGGCTTACATTGCTATGATTTTAGGTTCTGATCATGCATGCATCCTGGTAGAGTCGTGCTTATGATTGGGAGGGTATGAAAGAAAAGATAGGGAAGTGAATGAGTAAGGAGATTCATAGATTGTAATATGGTTGATCTAGGGTTATTATTATCACTATTTAAATAGTATACCTGAGATTATTAATGATTGTTTTTCAATAAGATAGTTATGATCTCCAGCACCAACATTTTTGATTGAATGTGTGTTTGGTGTCTGACATTTATGGATGTCTGTGTGGGGGTCTTGACACATCAACATGACACCAACACATTTGATTACTGATATTTTCTAAAATTATTACTTGTGTGGACACGTCGATGTTAGTGTAGTGTCCGGTGTTAGTGTTGGCCTTCATAGTTGTGATTAACTTTTAGGCATTTAGTCTACCAATAGATATCTCTATGCGACTTAAGCTCATTGTTTTATATTCTGAAATAGGAATTTATGTTTTTGTTTTCAGGCACTTCCCAAAACATTTTCTGACAATATAAAGAAGAATTTACCAGAAAGTGTGACCCTAAAAGGTCCTAGTGGAATGCTGTGGAATATAGAGTTGACAACTAGAGACGATACCTTTTACTTCAGGCACGGATGGAAACAATTCGTGAAAGAACACTCTTTGAAAGAAAATGACTTCCTTGTCTTCAAGTACAACGGTGAATCGTTGTTTGAGGTTTTAATCTTTGATAGCGAGAGTTTATGTGAGAAGGCAGCTTGTTATTTTGTTCGAAAATGTCAACATGCTGCCAATACTGAACAAGGGGGTGGATGTTCTGGAAAGAAAAGGGACTCAGATAATTCTATTGAAGAAGTTAACACTCCTAATGGTGTTGATGAAGGTGTTTCACCTGAGAAATCTTTGCATGTTAAGAGTATCAGAGTGCCAATTGATGTGCCTGTCGAAACAACTAATGGCAAGACTTCTAATGCTGGTGTTGAATCTGCTTCCGCCGAGGAATTCATGTCTGATGCAGTCACTGACACTGAGCCAATAATTGTTCCCTCCAAAACAACTGGTAAACGGACGAGGAGGCCTGTTTATGCCGATACATCTTTCCCGAGTAAGAAGAAAGGAAGACCACCAAAAACCGCTAGTTCTCACGAGAGAGATCGTAATTGTGTGTCTGGTAACATTTTTACTTTTATCAGTTAGAGAAAGAAACAAGGAAACACTTGTGGTTAAAGTGGTGCAGTGATCACATAGTTTTAACCACTATCAGCATATCTGCGCACTTGAATGAGTGAAATTACTTGCAGAAAAACTTGCTTTTGAAAAACCGCAACATTTTTGCTCAATAATAGTTGGACATTATAATTTACTGCGTACTTGTTTGAGTCCAACATTGTGACACTTGTGTTTTTGTGAAATCAATTAAAGAAATAAAATGAAAAGCCTTTTTCTTCTTTGTATTACTAGCATTTCTGATTGAATGTGTATTAATGTCCGACACATGTTGGTATCACACACCAACATGACTGAAACACGTAATTACATTCAATTAATTCATTTTTTGTCAAACTATTACCATTTTTTCATGGTTTATCTTGAGTATTTGTCTTAAAATCAGTACATATACCAATTGTCGTTGGCGTGGTAACTTATTTTGATCATTTTTAAGGTGCTGAACTTCTTCCCAAGGTTTCTCCTAAGGCCTCTCCAAAAGTTGGATCTGGGACCAAGGAACTATATACTTCAAATAGAAGGCCTGTCACAAAAAATGAGATTGAAAATACTCTTCAGTTGGCCCAGGCAAAATGTGCCGAAGACACCTTGCTTGTAACTATGCAAGCCACGCATGTATACAAGAGATTCTTCGTGGTAAACTACTTCCTCCTTTCTTTCCATTTTAAACTTGGTTGTGAATTTTGATAGCTTCCTGCATATTATACAACGTATATGTTGAAACTAATTGTATTTTTATTTTTATTTTTTGCGACTAGTCATTCCCTAATAAGTGGATAATAAACCATCTTTCTCCGTCGTCTCAATATGTGATATTACGCATGGGTAAGAAGGAATGGCTTGGGAAATACCGCTATCATAATATTGGTAACAATGGAGGACTTACCGTGGGTGGAAATATTTTGCGCTCGAAAATAACCTCGAAGAGTTTGATGTATGTTTGTTCAAGCCCGATGGTTATGGACAAAACATTGATCTTAGAAGTGACCATTTTTAGAGTTGTTGAGGAGATTACACCACTTACTCCGGTAAATTCTCCGGGAAAGAAAAGGTCAATTAAGAAAACACCAACAGGTGCTGTCCCAACAGAACTCGAGTCCTTTGAACCACTAGTAAAGAAGAGGGGACTTAACATAAAACTGACCAGTGCTGTCCAAACAGGACGTGACTCCATTGAAGATGCATCATTGTAACGTCCGAAGAAAGCTTCATCGTTAGAATTATGCAATAATATATGTTAACAGTTGTGTTAGGGTGTGTAATATCAATGTGTTTGTATTTTGGATGTTATGTTAGATTGTTTAACCTTTTCAATCTTATGCTTCTATCTATGTAATTTTACGTATGTAAACTTTCGATTATCTACCTTTATGGATTGATCTATTGCTCAAGGTATTATTATTGTATTTTTGTCTCTTTACATGATCAGCCTTGTTTCATCAATATAGATATTTTTTATATCAAACTAAATCAAATAGCACTTATATGTAAACTAGTAATATTCAAAACCTGCATAACAGTTATATGAAAATAATATGCAGAATCACAATACTAGTATTTAATCTGTAATGCAGTAACAACTTTCAAAGTAGCCCAAATAAATGTTTGTCATTTGTCAACATTGTAACTCTCAGTAACAACTTATAGCAATTAAACTCCATTTAGCTGGGTTTTAAAAGCTGAACTCGAGGTTAAATCAAGATCTAACTGACGTGACGTTGAGCTTAAGTTTCAATTCATTTAACTGATTAAAGCTATGATCGAACCGTTAATTTCTCATCATTTTATATCTTACAATACATCAAATATCTCTCTCTCTCTCTCTCTCTCTCTCTCTCTCTCTCTCTCTCTCTCTCTCTCTCTCTTCT